TGTTTAATTTATTAGTATTGTATTTCTACTCATGTACCGAAACAACTTGGCTGGCTTCGGGCCCTAAGCATCTGAGTGACTACAGGACTTCGTTGCCTCCCCTCTTGGGCCGGCCCTGATTCTCAAAAATTAAAACTTAAAAAAAAAAAACTTGTGAAATAAAAAGCGGACAAGCAGAACCGATGCGGTTGCCACCATGTCCTTCATCTCCCCACCTCCCTCAACAATCTCTATTCGCCCGTGTTGTTAATGGTAGCCCGACCACCACCCCCGGATTTTCTGCACCGGAGCAGCCGGTCATTCCGCTTTCGAATTTCGCGGCTGGAAGACGCCGGGTTGCGTCCGCAAGGCAGGCGGCGGCCAACTGCGCAGGCGCAAGATGGCTCCCTCTTTTTTTTTCCACCAAGAGCAAGAAGAGCGGCAGAGAGAAAAGGGGGTGCCGTCCTCGGTTGGGGCCTCGCCAGTGAGTGGGCTGCCTTCTCCTGCTCGAGGAAAGGAAGAAGCTCACCGGGCCAGTAGCGGCTGCCGCTGCGTCTTCTCTGTTGGGCCGCCTTTAGGAAGACTTTGAAGCTCTTCCTACGCCTGGAAGGGGGACCCACAGTGGGGTGGGTGGGTTGGGTGGCTGCCGGGGCGGGGGCGTCTGCAGCTCGCCCTGCAAAAAGCCCCCCCTTTCCCCCGTCGCCTCCCCAGCCGTTGCCGTTCTGCTGCCTCTCGGAGCCCAACCAGCCGATCCGTCCCCATCGGCTGTGGAGCGGAGGGGAATAAAATGGAGCGGAGCGGTGGAAGACATCGAGGCGCTCTCGCTTTCGGGCCGCGTTTGCTCCGGCCAAGGGGCAAGGCGGGCGTCGAGACCCGGTCGCTGATGCTGGCCGTGGCCCTCCTTTGAGCGGGGCCAAACCCAGAGACGATTCCCTCGCTTGCCCGGGTGTGCGTAGCAGGGAAGCCAACGGCCCTGGCTTTGGAGCAGACACGCTGTCAATTCCTTCCTGCCTCTCTCTTTCTTTTGTTCCTTTTGTTCCCCCTTTCTTTGCTCGTCCACTTTTCTCTCTGCCGGCTCGTTTCTTTTTTCCTCCGTCACTTTCTTTCTCGTCTCCCTTCCTCTCCGATTTTCTTCCTTCCTTTCCCTCCCTTTCGTCACACGTGCCTCCGTCTCGCTCTCCCCACCCCGCCGCACTCGGCTTGTTCTCGGGCGTTTGAATAACGCAGGTGACTGCGGCCGATCGCTTCCTCCCGGTCCTTTGTTCTCCTGGTGAACCAGAACCAAGGTGACGCCGGAGGAAAGGAGTCCGGCGATGCCTGTACATAACGCGTTTCGCTAGCCAGCTACTGTTATTAAATAACCCGGTGCTTTAATGCTGCTTTCCCAATTTCAGGTTGGGGGAAGGGCAGCCATTTAAAGGGTATTAGAACATAACAATGAAAATCGGCCGCAGAAACGCAAAAGGCATCACGTCTGTGCAAAACGGTTGCTCGCAGTTCTCAGAACCGGCATCGGAGGCTCACAGCACCGGGGCCAAATCGTCTTAAGCCTTCGCTGAGATGCTCAGCAGGCTCGCTCCAGCTGAGGCCACTAGGCAGGGTGTGCAAGCGGCTGCCCCAAGCCCTTGTCTCGCAGGAAGGCGGAAGGCCAACTCGTGCCTGGATCTGGCTGGTGGCCGAAGTCGGAACTGCAAGGGGGTGCGCGCCTAGAGCCCTGCCATTTGTCGGGTGCTTGGTTTTCCAAGTGGCGAGAGCCAGTTCGGAGGTGATGTGCTTTGCACTTGGGAAGACAGGCATAAAACTGGTTTTCAATTAGCGGAGCTGGTGGAAAGAATCCCGAAGACCGGGGCCGCTGGCCAGTTCTAAAGAATCTTAGGCGGAGAGAGGGTGTCTTTTGCCGATTCATCTCGACATTTTTTTAAAAAATCGGCGTCTTCTGCAGATCTGCCTTGAAAGATTCCGTATCTAGATCTCTTCTGGATAAGTATACACCGGGGAGAGGGGGACGGCTAAAGCGATCTGATGCGGAAAGGAATATACAGTAGAAGGCTTTATAAGAAGAAGGAACATAGACGGGTGTTGGTGAGTTCAACCTTCGCTAACCATGGACCGACTCGCTAGGAGACGATAGGTGCGGAAGTGCATTCATCCGGAGAGTTACCAAGATTGCCATGGTCATTTCCTACCTTCCTTTAGTCCGCTTTTTATGTCCAGCGTCCTGAATGTTCTTAGGGACCTCATCTCCAAACTCTTTTTTCCTTGTTGAAAACATGATCAGGAAGACGGGACGGCCCTCTTGGGTTTGCTGGCCTGCTTGAACCCAAGGCTGGCTCTACTCAAGTCATGTATTACTAGCCCGGATTTGAGAAGCGACTCTTTTTTTCTTCCTTACGGTCCATTTCTTTGTTGTTCTTCTCCCTTCCCCCAGTAGGTTGTAGTTTTATATGGCACTTTTAACAGATAAAAATACTTTGCTATTTTCCTTGCTTTCACAAGACGTTGACAGGTCAAATATTCTTTACCCACTTTTTTTCCGGGGAAAGAATCAACAATGGGGGGGAAAAAAAACCCAAAACCAGCAAATGGTTCATGGACAGTGAAACCTGGACTTAGCCAAGTGTGTGTCTACTCTACACAGCTTCTTTCTTTAGTCGTATCAGAGCGTTGCACAATTACCGGTTTAACTGCCATGGCCCCGATCTACAGACTTGTGGGATATATTGTTTGGTGAGATGCTCAGAATTCTCTGAAGTACCTCTCTAGAAAACAGTTCCAAGTTCTCACCGCACTACAAACCCCGAAGTTCTTTAAGATGGGCAGTTAAAGTAGCATCAAACTGGCTGACGATGGGGTGCAGATGCACAGCGAACCTGGAGGACTGAAGACCCTTCCAGCAGAGAGCTTTTCCCCATTAACGACAGAGATTTGGGGATGATGTTGCTTAGTCGGCGACATAGGAGAAAGCTCTCTACACCTGCTCAGAAGTGGTTGTTTTCTTTCTGGAAAACTGACACACTGAGAGAGATCATTCAGGACAGACAGTCATCGACTGAAAATAAGTTTATTTCCAGGCGATGCTCTCGTTAGTTGTCTGGTTTATTATATAACATGCTTCCTCCTAATGCAACAATACACGACCTCTGTTCAGTGCCAACCAGTTCATAGGGCTGATAGGGCAGGACCGGCCATCCGCTCCCCCCCCCCCCCCC